ATTCCTGCGGAAGCCATGCGGAAGCGCTGCCTCAGCGTCTTGTGCAAGGAGGTCTGCTGGAGGCCCGAAGACGAAGTGGGCGAGAGGGAAGCAGTATAGCCATAGCGATAGGTAGCGGCAGCCATAGCTGCCATAGCTTAGCTTAGAGTGTAGCGTGTGTGTACTGTGTGAGTGTTCAGAGTGATGCGTGTGGGACATCCAGGGTGATCCAGAGTGTGAACAGTGAGTTGATTGAGGCGCACAGTCGCCATAGCCAGTGGAAGCAAACTGTTACGTGGAAGCCATATCTCTGAGTTCTGTGTGGGCGCATGTCGCCAGTAGTTGTTCTGCTGTTCACGTGCATGAAAAGTGTGAATAAGTCGAGTATGATTGCACTACTATGGCCACCATGTCTACCACTACCCCTGAAGTCTTCCTTGTAGAGCCCAACCAACCCCCAACCGGGACCAACGGGCCCTTCCAGGTGCAGTGCCAACCAAGAGCTTGAAGATGAAGATGCAGACCACCATAGCCAGGTAGGCACCCCCGTTCACTCTCCTCCTTGCACACCATTTTCCCCCTTCCCCTTCTCCTCCTACTTCCCCCGAGTCTCCTCCTTGGCCCTCTCCACCATTATAGCAAAGGTGGAGGGCCAAGCCCGCCGTCTTCCTCCCCAGCACTACTACACTGAGCGCGCGGCCAGGCAGCGTGTCGCCGCCCAGCTTCCGCCGCGGCTGCAAATGAGGAGGAGCTTGTCACTCTGCCTGAAGATATACAGGTCTTTTTTTTTTTTTTTTTTTTTTTTTTAATAAAAGACTCTGCAGGAAATAGTAGTTGAGGTGATATGAGCACCCCCAACTAGTATACCTGGGCCGAGGTCCCACTAGCAACATGGATCGGATTGAATGCCTGAATCTGGATATGCCTTACAGAAAGACGCAGAAAAGCAGTTCCATCTCAATTTCCTGCACCTGTGCACAAACACGTCCAGATTCAGGCATTCAATCCGATCCTCGTGGCTAGTGGGACCATGCTCCTGTACTTGTCACTACATCTATTGGTGGGGAGCTGCACCTGCTGGAAACCGGGTCCAGCGTCCCATCTAGTACATAATCTTGAGGAGGTGGGAGATGAATATACAGGTCTAATTGCCTTTTCGAGCAGTGACTTTCCACTGTTTCCAGGGCCCAAGGCCTCCCAAGCTACCAATACCTCCCCCCTTTCGGAGTGAAACATCATCATAATTGCAGTCTGATATCCATCACTGCAGGCCCTACACTCAGACTACTGGACCGGTACTACCCCTGGACTCTAAGCCTACCAGACTTCTAAAATTCCTTCGGCCTCTGAAGGTACTAACTTTTTGTCTTCTTCTGCCTACCTGCCCACTACTTGCAATGGGTGTTTTCTCTATACATATAAAGGAAAACGCGGGTCTCGCGTGACGGACCCACGGGAGACCCGGTTCCCTCGTGGGAGTCCGCGTGCAGGTTCCACGGGCGGAGTACCAGCGGTTTGTAGAACCGCGCGACGGTTGGCCGGAATTTTTTTCGTTTTTTCCCCGGTTCCACGGGCGGAGTACCTGCGGTTTGTGGAACCGCGCGACGCTTGCCTGTTCAAATATTTTTTCTTCTTTCCGTCCGCTTGGCCGTTCAAAAGTTTTTGTTGTTTGCGTCGCGAGCAGTTTGTCGAATAGCGCGGCGGCTCGGATGATCGTCCCGGGATGGTCTTTTCAGGAGCGGGGAGTACCAGGTTGTGTATATTTCCATGTTCTAGCTGAAGATTCATTGGATGTTGCTCGTCCTATCGATGGAAGTTGGATGGCGGGAGATGCGAGGTCGGATCGTCTCTCTCTCTCTCTCTCTCTCTCTCTCTCTCTCTCTCTCTCTCTCTCTCTC